CAGATACTTCAAAACATCCCTACTCACCCACCAGCCCTGCAGTGCTCCCTCCCTGAAATCCCTTCACCTTGCTTAGGTGGCAGTTTTAAGCAGAAGACTCTAATGTAACAGGCCTGCATATGCTATGGAATAGCTGCTGTTTAATATTTTTTTCAAGTAAATAATACTTTTTCTAATAAACAATTTTTGTTTCAAATAAAGAAAACTGCATATCAGTAGCTAACATATTCTGTAACACTAGAATTTGTATTAAAAGAAGGGGATGAAAAAAATTCACAACAGATTTCTTACAGTCTGCATTCCAGCTTTGATTTCATTTGAAGTGTCAGACTCTGTGTCAGTGGAAGCAGACATTCCCTCCGTGGTATTTGTACGCTGCCGACGCAACAGACGCTCAACTTGCCAGGCTCTCAGCAGAACTCCATGAAGACAAGAAAGAAGTTCATATTTTTTTATGAAAGCTCCAGCAAAACTTAATGCTTGAGGCCTTTAATCAAGTATCTACATAATTGCTGAAAAGGAGATTTACTCCAAACTGGTAGTTTGCAGGACTTGTTTTCATTTTGGCTGCATACAGTGACCCAAGGTACTCTGCTCCTGCCAGACCAAGTCACAGCTTGTCAGCAGGATCTGTCACCTCCGGGTTTTCTAGGGTCCTTGCTGGTTAACACCCAGGACAGCGAGAAAGCACCACACTAATGCTCTGCCATTCTCACTTCTCGGCTGGGTGCTCAGCATCCTCGCACTTGACTGATCTTGTTTCATTTGAGGAAGTTGATGGTAACAACAGAAGTGTCACTATCTGAGGCAGGCAATGCTACTCATATCAAAAGATTTACATGAGGGTCTCCATCCCATTCGTGAAATGACAGAGATCTTCTGAATGGTGATTAGCTGTGAAAAGACGTTCTCTAGAGAGCTGCCTTCTCCTCTGGCTGATGATCTTGCTCCTGCCTCTTATTCACATGATATATACACTGCACTTGTGTTTTTAAATGTGTGTGTTTCTTAAATCTCTCTAATATCTCACAAACATAACCCTTCTTATACAAAAATTGCCTTGCTGTCCATCAAATCACAATCACACCCCTCAGAAATTTGTTCTTCACAGATAATGTGATATGGCTGTGATCTTTATTCTTTTACAGGTGGGTCTGTTGAGAGACAGGCAGGCATACCATGTATCTTCTGCTAAATTCAGCAGCAGATCTAGGAGTGGGAGAACACAGATATCCTTCTACCTCCCTCTTCCATGGTCTGAACTGTCCAAAACCTGGCATGAACGTTTGGCAACACTGTCCTTAAAGTTTAGAAGACCTACCTTCAAAAGTAGGTCTTCTTGGAAAGTATCCCAACATAGCACTGACTTAGGAAAAAATGTAAACCAATATTGCATGTATACTGTAGGAGACTTGAATGTAAACAGGAAACCTGGGAAACACAAATCAGATTAAAAAAGATTTCAGACCTTATACCTGCAAATAGGACCACATGGGAAAATCAGATCAGAGTCCACTGACTCTGCCCATCCTGGACCAATGTGCACCTCCAACCAAAGCAGCAACACATTCATCTCCTGTTACTATTTCCTTTCTGTAACTGATATATATTCTCGCATTTAACCAAGCAATTTCCATCAAGTTTTTCAGTGTTTTGGACAAGCCTCTGAAGCTCCTGTCTTCCAGTGAAATCAATGAGAACTTCTCAAGCTTCAAGAAGCTTGTTACTATAAAAAACAAAACAATTTTTAGAAAAAACGGGTAAGAAATTGCCTTTGTACCAGGACATTAAATGCTGACATACAAAACCTGATTTTCTTACCTACCGCTTAATTTAAATAATCAGTTTCCAGAAATCTGTATTTTAAAAATAAGGCAGCGCATATAAAGTCACACATTAGCTCAAGCCTTGCATAACTGATACTGTAATACCCTCTTGTGGTCAAATAAAAATGGATCATCTAAACACCTGAACATTTTCCTCTATAAAAATCCTCTCTAGACATTTTTTCCTCTTATGGGGGAAGTAACTAAATTTTTTTTCACAGATTAATTTGTAGTGCCTATCATCACTTGCCCAACAACAATAAAAGACTAACCTGAGTCAAGCTCTTTCTCAGAATGATGGGCACCGGCACTGCTTGTCAGATAAACTAATCCCAGAACAAATTCCTAAGCAATGGCACCATCTCTTACAGTGACACTCATAACTTTTTTCAAATGTCACATCCCCAACTGGAAAAAATAAAGATGATATAATCAATTTACATAGATACATATGTCATGAAGCCACAATAAACATCAACCTAGTCTACTACAGGATGAAAAGCACACAGTAAATCAAGCCATACCAGTTCAAATGAGCTCCCTGTTTAAATGCCCCAAGTTGTTGTAATGAACAAATAAAACGCTAATCTGGCAGGTGGGAATATGAGAGGAACAGTTCAGTATCTGCAGCAGTTCGGTGTTAATGTAGTAAAGCACCTAAATGGGCTACTAGCAAATCCAGTAAAGAATCCAGAGGAACACCCAGAAATGCCATCCTTGCGCTCCTAACCACTCCCTTCATGACTTCTGGTCCCAACAGAAAATGGGATAATTTTCAAAATACTAGCTCTTAGCAACCTGTTTTTGGAACAGCAGCTACATTTTAAAGTCATATTATTATATTTTTAAAAACCCACTTATTTAAACAGCCATTATCCCATTCCCATCTATTATTTCCACAGAAATGCCTTAAACACTCTGAAGTGTTCAATACCTGCATAGGTATTGAACATAAGACTCATAGCTTACTTTTTTTAAAGCCTAAAGAAGTCCTAAACAGTTAAGACTTCTGTCTTTTCTGAGGTTTCCTCTGGCATCTTCTTTTCTGGGGTCTTAGACCAACAGATCACAGCATCACAGAATGGTAGGGATTGGAAGCGACCTCTGGAGACCATCCAACCCCCCTGCCAAAGCAGGTACATCTAGAGTAGGTTGCACAGGGCAGCATCCAGGTGGGTTTTAAACAACTCCAGAGAAGGATGCTCCACAGCCTATCTGGGCAGCCTGTTCCAGTGCTCTGTCACCCTCCCAGCAAAGAAGTTTTTCCTCATCTTCAGCTGGAACTTCCTGTGTTCCAGTTTGTGCCTGTTGCCCCTTGTCCTGTCACTGAGCACCACTGAAAGGTCTGGCTGTAACCTATGAGTTGACTTTCAGTAAGATGTTCTGAGAGGCAATTCGTAGCCGGGCATCAAAAGCAGGACAGTTGCAACTCCTGCACCTTTGCAGACACCACTCAATGGCATAGACTTTAAACACCTGCTTGTAATCCTTCCATCCAGTTTACTCAGTGGCTACAAGTAGTCATTTGGAAGCTAATGTACTCAGCTCAATAACCATTTTTAGTTTATTATTATGTTTAATTTTCAGAAATTGACTGGAAGGATTAGAATTAAAATAACACAAGAACGTTGTAAACAAGAATTAAAAAGCATTCCATGCACATGAACACACTTCCCATCAGGATCCTTTCCTGACCTGATCAGAAGGTAAAATCCCATGAGCACTGATTAATGCATTCAGTCTTCCAAACATGCCTCAGCTTCCTTTTAAAGCAGTTAGATGCTGCTAAAACTCCATTCTCCAACAAGCTGCACATGTTCCAAAGTGGAAAGGACTGTGGAATGAATGCAGCAGGATAAGTAGATTCCACAAGAGGAACAGAAACAACTGTCAGGCCAGGTTGTCAAACAGTTCATTTCTTCAGTTCATAATAACACTGTATGGATAGATGACTTTTTTTCGCTGAAACAGATGAAAACCATGGTTTAGGTTTCAATTATCTCAGAAAAACAAGCAAACAAACAAACAAAAAGTCTACTAAAACTTAATTCAAACCCAAAGCAAATATTGTGATTTGAGGCAGAGCCTACCTCTTTTTAAGTTATGTTATTGCAGTCTTCAAAGTCAGATTAATTTTTCCAAATATAGAAGCATTCCTTGCTCAAATATGTCTGCATGAAGTATTTGGATTGTTGTATAGTTGTAACTATTTTAAAAGAAATTCAAAGCCAAATTCAGCATGTATTTCCCAATACTGCAAGCAAATACATTTGCCAAAAAACCCCTAAAAAAGCAGATTCAAAGTTCATTAGCATTTACTGGGAAGATGAAGCAAGAGGCTAGAATGCATCTGGAGCTAATCCACACTACTCAAAAACAAGTCAGTCAAGAATTTCAGAGGAAATTTATACTTAAAATACTCCATTTTCCTGCAAGGTCACAAATACTTGAGGAAGTGACTTCATTCCATAAAAGCTCAACAGGCTAACTGTAAAGAAAAACACTGACATTTTGGACACCGTTTTGAAAATTCTCACTTTGTATATGAATAGTGCTTTAAAGTTACTTAAAAACTACTTCTCATAGTTGCTTAATATCCTCTACAGAAACCTCTTAAGCACTTAAAAAGGACCCTGGATCATCTCTGGTTGCTCTTTTTTAAAAATCTGAAAATAAGGAGCTTTCAAAGCACAGATTTGTTGAAATACTTTATTTTAAACAAGAAAGAGCCTAGCAGCTGTCCCGCTGGGACTGCTCCCTTTCTGGTGAATATTCACAAGTAAGACTCGTTTCCAATGGAGACAGTAAACACACCAGGGAAACCAGCAGCTTTCAGGAGATTTTGCTTCTGCTACATAACCACAACAAAAGTCCTCCTGCTATACTCAGCAGCAATCTCCACAGCACCTTTTGCTACTAAACCAGACTTTAGGAGGATTATGAGGATTTTGAATAGAGGGTGGTCTCAGCTGCGTGCAGCAGTAATCACCTCGTAAACTGAGAGTCTGCTGGTTACAGATGGAGGTCGGATGGATTTGAGTAATAGTAATTTCTTACAAAATTGCTGTTACCATGAAAACTCCTTCAGCATTCAACCAACGAAGCAACATAAAGCAGTAAGAAATAAGCATTAAATAAGAGGGAAGTAAAACAGTGCCGAGCACTGCCTGTCAGTGCTGCTGTGCACATTTGTTTTCTGAAAGCACTCCAAAGCAGCAGCTAAAAGAAAACGTTAGGAGAGAAGGAGTTTTGAAAGTGTAAACAATAACTGGTTGAACTTTCCTAACAGTCACCATATACCTTAATAATACTGAGGGTACAGAGAGTCTCAAAATGGACAAGTTGGGAAAAGTTTCTGGATTCAGGAGAAATACCTTGGTTAGATCTTCGCAAGCAGCAACCACACCTCTGGGAAAAGCAGCCTCAGCTCCTCTTGTGTCTCTTGGCAGCACCCAACCCAGAAGACCTGTCGTTGCACAACCAGCTGCTCTGGCCTGGGCAGACAAGCAGGCAGCACTGCAGCAGGACCAGGTTCAACAGGATAAGATTTGGAGAGAATTTGTGGAGGCTGAACAGAGAGGAAGAAAAGTCTGGTAAGTCACTTGTTCCAGTTCATGCCTCTTCTGCTCATCTTGACAATAGTACTGATGCTGCCTGACAGTCTTAGGGCTTGATCCAAAGCCTACACTATCAAAGGAAATTTTCTTATGCAGGGACTTTGGATCAGACCCTAACATCCTTCTTTCTAAGATGATATTATCTCTGTTTTCCTTCACTGAGCAAAAGTTATGCTAATATCTCCTAGCATGCTGGGCTAAAGCTGAAAACAGGTGCAAAGAATTGCATTGCTAAGTATCTTTTAACTTTACAGAGGTTTCCACAATGAAGATATAAATGAGCCAACCTTTATAATTTATTGCAGACACACTGATATTATCACCTCTCCTCATATTCTTGAAAATAGCTGAAATGGAAGCTGAACAGAGTGTTCTGCCAAAATACGATTTTGTATTCCCAATCGGTACATCTACCGAACATGCCCCGTTGT